GGAGCCTCAGCCATAGTCCTTTACTGGCTAATGATTCTCAGTTACTAGCATATTCTAGTGTGTTATGCAGAATTTGCAAATTATAGGGCTGGACATGTAGCCTGCATATCACCACCACTACCATAACCACACCTATTACTGCCACTACACCCACTGCTACTGCTGCCTCTATCCCTGCCATGCATACACCTTCTGGGATTGATGCAATGCCAGCACTACATTCCAAAGAGACCTCTAGATTCTCACCACTGGATCTCAATGAGCTAGATGACTTCTTGGATGAATTTGATCACCTTGCAAAGTTTCATGCCCTCACAGACAATGAACATGTTTATGCAATCCTATACTATGCTGATTCAGAAGCTAAACACCTGTGGAAAACATCTGATGGCTATGACAATGAGTTGGCTAAATGTAACTGGTGTATATTTAAAGCTGACCTTACTGAGGAATTCTACACCTCCTGACAGCATAAACATTCCCTACATGAGTTCTAGGACCTTGCCAAGAAATGGCACTGCCACAAGATATCTAAAATCGAGGATCTGGAGCACTACCACTGTCAGTTCAAACCTATAGCCAAAGCTTTGTGCAAGAAGGGAGTCATAGCTGAGAATGAAGAGCAGTGTACCTTTTGGAAGGGCTTTGACCATCGCATTAAAGAGTGCATAGAGGACCACATCTGTCATGTCGATTCCAGCTGAGACCATGATGAACTCTTCTCCATCAAGAATGTAATAGAGGCAGGCCATTGGATGCTCTGATCTGCTGTCTATGATACTGACTCAGACTCAGACAGTTCTCTGACTCATTCACACCACTGAAAAAGGAAGAAAGCTGCTGCCTCTGATAGTGAGAGCTCAGATTTAAATAGTAATAGCTCTGCCCCAGTCAAAAACTCTTCAGATATCTGCACCAAGAAAGTGGCCAGAGTCACTGTTGATGACCTTCAAGCTGCCCTAGAGAAACTGTCACTCACTCAGGCAGCTGCCTTTCAGACAGCCTTGCAGCTCCTGGTTCAATCGTTAGCCCCCCAGACTGGTTTGACTTTTGCAACAACATACCAGTTCAAGAATTCTGCATTGTAGGCACAGAACACATCCCCCTTCCCTGCATGACTCACTGGCTGTTTCTTCTATGGTGAGCCCAGCCACTTCATAGCTGACTACACCTGAGTCCCACTCTATATCAAAGTCAGTCATATCATCCTTGTAAATCAAAGGTTCTGTTTCTGTGATGGTAGTCCTATCCATTGTGCCTAGCAGCACACATGCTTGAAGGCTGCTGTTGATGGAGTCTTTGGCAGACTGCTGCCCCCTCTAACTACCCTCCAGTCTGCTCCTAATCCTCTAACTGCTCAGCCTGCCTCACAGGATTTTTAGACTGCATGGTGATTGAAAAAGGCCCTGAGCATCCCATGATGGCTTTTATAGAAGAAGTAAATGATGAGCCTGACATTGCACATGTTGCTATGCTCACCAAAGAAAGTGATGATGTCTGGTGGAGTTTCTTTAGGATGAAATACATCAATGTCGATGTAGAGGATTCCAAAAAATGCACAGGAATAGTAGCAACAACAACCCAGAAGAAGAAGAATGAAAAAGCCTTATTTACTGAAAGAAATTCAGACCAGAAAATACAAGAAAAAGCTCTCTTACTGAATGAATACCAGGCTGCATACAGAAATGAGTCTCTATTAAATGACCCAACAGCCATTCCTTGAGTATACCAGAAGATCCTAGACACATCTGTCACACTCTCAGTATGAGACCTATATGCTATCAGCAAAGATTTGGCAAAAGAAGCCATAATGCATGAGAAGACAAGTTGTGTACCAATCCAGGCAACAACCACTCTTATTTAGGCCATTCTTGCTCCTCCTGTACTCAAATATGCCATACCATTGCATACTATAAATGTCTCTATTGCTGAGAAACAACTAGAACCTGCCCTGCTAGATGAGTGCTCTGAAATCATGATCATCTGCCAGAACCTGGCAGAAGAATATGGCCTCAACATTAACAGGCATAGGAGCATGATGATGGAAACAGCAGCAGGTGCATGAGACAAACTCTCTGGATGTGCTGAGAAGCTAGAGATTATAGTCAATGGCTTGACAACTGTTGCATATGCCTTTATAGTCCCAAAGGCTCTCTATCTTGTCCTTTTGGGTCACCCATGGCAGAGAGCAGTCCACCTGCAGAAGTGGGAAACAGCAACTGGAGTGACTGTCAAGATCTGGAAACTAGCTGTCACCAACCCTCAGTATCAGGAAATAGTGACAGAGAAATGGGAATGACCAGCAGAAAGGACATTTAGCATCTTGAACACCTTGGATGATGTAGTGAAGGAATAGTGGCAGAATCTGAATGTCTGCCTAAACAAAGAACCAAACACAGATCTAGCAATCACAGAAACTTATGCACTTGCCAACCATATACTTTCTGATACCTTTGCATTTAATACAGATATACATTGTCTCCTGTACAAAAGCATGGACAAGAAAGCCAACCCTATACCTGCCACCCTGCCTGAACATGCAAAAATCTGAAGACAATTCCCTGAAGATCCTCTCCTATCCTTGCCACTGCTATCCCCTTTTTTGACTGACTTCCATCCATCTTCCTGCCTCACACAAATGTCTAGATATGCTTAGAATCTTGACAAATAAGTTTTTATGGCCAGAGGAATGCTGTTTGGCAGTCAACATTCTGATGTATAATTAAGATGCTATTGCATTTACCAATGAAGAACATGATTGCCTACAAGATGACTATGTCAGCCCAGTCATCATCCCACTTGTCAAACATGAACCTTGGGCATGCTGATCTATTCCTGTGCCTCCAGACATCCAAAATCAAGTTATTGCATAAGTAGAAGAAAAGATGTGCCAAGGTCTCTGGAAACCTTCTGACAGCTCATACCAGACACAGTGGTTCTGCATTTTAAAGAAAGATGGGAAGATTAGGATCATCATCAACTCAGATGAAATCAACAGATATACTATACAGACTACTGAACAATCTTCTCTCTCAGACTAATACTGCAAGCATACAGCTGGCTATAGTATCTATACAGGCATTGACTTGCTATCTGGCTATGATCAGCACACTCTGAATATCTTCTCATGTGATATTACCACCATTGATACTCACCTTAGCCCTATACATCTCACTACATTGCCCTAGAGGTGGACAAGCTCCATCAATATCTTCCACCATGATATTGCATTCATCCTGCAACATGAAACTGATGTAGTGTCAAACTTTATCAATGACATCAATATCCTAGATATGTGAACTCACTATGAACTCTCTGGCAATGACTATGAGAGGCATTCAGACAATAGCAATATCTGAAAGTTTGTATGAGAGCACTTACTGGATATACACTGGATCCTCCACTGCCTCAAGCATGCAAGAGCTTCAGTATTAGCAAAGAAGCTCCAGATCAGTGTGCCTGAACTTGTTATTCTTGGCCAACTTTGCAGCTATGATGGGTGCTTACCTGAGAATATTGCAGTATAAAAGATCAAGTCTTAGCTCCCTTGCTGTAATGTCAAATAGGTCTGTGGCTTTTTGGGACTTTCAGACACTGTTTGGATATGAATTCAGGACTTCACTGCTATTGCACAGCCACTCATCAGGTTCACTATCCATGACATCTTCTTCACTTGGGCCTAGAAGCAGCAAGATGCTATGAATATCTTAAAATCTGCTGTTGCCATCTGTCCAGCAATATGTTCTATCGACTACACTTCTGATTAAAATGTCATACTCTCCATGGACTCATCAGAAATTGCTTGTGGATTCCTGCTACAACAAGAAGAGATTGATGACCATCAATACATCGCTCATTTTGGATCATTAGCCTGGTCCAACATCAAATTATGCTACTCACAGGCAAAAATCAAACTTTGTGGGCTGTAGCATGCCTTGCATGCTATATGAATCTATCTGGTCAGCCTTGAGCACTTTATCATAGAAATGGATGCCAAGTATATTAAGGGTATGCTTAATAATCCTGACCTACACCCAAATGCATCAGTCAACAGGTGGATTGCAGCTATTCTCATATTCAACTTCACCTTGATTCACATCCTGGTAAAATGCTTTAAAGGATCTGATGGTTTGTCAAGATGTGAGCACACAAAGGACATAGAGGACATACCAGATAATAAGGTGGAAGACTGGATCAATGATGATATATTAGGTTGCAGCATTTGGATAGCAATATTTCTGTGCAAGAAAGTTAGCATATCTGATGGTCCATCACAGGGGACCCTGCCTTCACAGGCATTCACAGCAACTGTTTCTAAAATCAACAATGAGGACCTACCCTTATAGAATGAAAAGCATGCATCACAGAAACTTGCTATAGCCTACATTCAGCACTATCTTATGAAGCTCAAATGCCCACCATCAGTCCCACAAACAAGACTCCCAGCACTCCAGCAACAGGCCCACCAGTTCTTCATCCTTGGGGAGAAACTGTTCTGCTGTAATCCAGGAGGTCGACATCAGCTTATCATTCTGCATTCTGGATGGCTGGCAATCCTTTGTGCTGGGCACAATAAACTAGGTCATTGAAAGAGGTTCTATCTGACCCAATAGCAGCTCCAAGACTATTTTTGGTGATCAGAAATGGATGATGACATCTGATGGTACTCGAAGACATGCTATGAGTGTCAACTAAAGTCCACAGAATATATATGCTTATCTCCAAAGATCTTTATGCCTGCAGACCTGTTTCAGAAGTGCCATATTGACACCATGCACCTACTAAAGGCTTTTAGATATCAATACATTATTCAAGAGAGGTGTAGCCTCACTTACTGGCCTGAGTTCTAGATGCTTTGAGCAGAGACAAGCAAAGCAGTCAGCTGATTCATCTTTGAAGAAATCTTGTGTTGTTGGAGTGATATTACAGAGATCCTTATCACAGATAATAAACCTTCAATGGTCACTGCAGTAAAATACCTGGCCAAGATATGCAGCATCCATCACATTCATATTTTGGCCTACAACTCTTAAGCTAATGGCCTCATCGAGATTGCACACCAGCCTATCCATGATGCACTAAAGAAGCTGTGTAAAGAGAATGAATGAGTCTGGCTAAGTAAGGCTCACCTGGTCTTTTGGGCTGACCAAATCATGACATCTTGCCACACACACACTTTCCCCTTCTTTGCAGCCCAGTGTCAAACCACTCCTCTCATTTGACATCCTGCTTGTGATGTTCTTACTCTCTGAGATCACTGGAAAAGTATTCAAGTCCAAGTTGTTGTATATGTGTGCATGTCAACTTGAGAAACAGGACAAAGACTTGGCTAACCTTGAGGACCACATCATCAGAGCCAGATTCCAATCGATTAAAGACTTCCAGCAGCAATTTATAAACACTATCCATGACTATGACTTCAAGCTTGGCACCCTAGTCCTTGTCCTTAACAAGAAAATCAAAGTCAGCACCAACAGAAAGTTTTGTTCTCACTACTTTGGTCCCATAGTTGTAGTCCAGCATACCTAAGGAGGAGCATACTATCTTGCAGAGCTGAATGGCACAGTATCTCAGCTTAAATTTGCAGCTTTTCAGCTTGTATCCTACTACATGAGGTCAAGGAATGAGTTCAAGGTCACCAAATTCACAGACATGTCACACCTCATGGGACTTTTTGATGATGGCATCAACAATACATGATATAATGCATGTTTCAGTCTGGAGGCCAAAATTTGAAGTTTGTATAGGATATAGAGGATTCACCTGCTCTAGACCATTTCTTTGACCATTTCCTTTGTTATCTTATCTTGCTTTTACCTTTCTTTGTCTATACAGTGTTTACTTATCACCATTAGTTAGCCTCCCCCTTTCTTTCAATATTTTACATTGTCTTTACCAGTTATCTTTGTTTTATTATATGCTACTCTACAAATAGTATAAGTATATAGCTACTTGGTACTAATAGAATATATCTTCCCCCATCTTCTCTGGTTTCCATCCAGATCTTAAAGTGTAATAGCCAAGCCTTTACCTACACACCTGATCAAAAAATTCTCAGAGAAATATCTTGGTCCTTTTAAAATCATAGTTCAATCTGGTTTCCACTTTTTCATGCTGAGGCTCCTGCTGGATCTCTGGTCCATTCACTCAGTCTTTCATATGTCACAATTGGAACCCATAGAAGAAAACACTATTCCTAACTGAACCCAACTACCATCACCTCCAGTCAAAGTCAATAAAGAAGAACATTTTGAAATAGCCCAAATCCTTGACTCTAAACTAGACTGCCAGTTCCACTGCCCACTGCTGTATAAGATCCAGTGGCTAGGCTATAAAGATACCAATGAAGAGTTTGCTTGGTTACTGGCCTCTGAGTTCTCTGCTGATGAATTTATTAAAAAATTCCACCATTGGTACTCTGGCAAACCAGAACCCTTATCCAAAGTCACTCAATCATTCCATTCTTGACACAAAGCAATTCTAAATGCCATCAGCACCCCATCTTACTATTTTAATTTTAACCATCAATTACTACCATTCCAATCATCTTTTTACACTTTCAAGTCAAAATCTTGTAGCTACATTTTTTCTCCACTACCAACATCTGATGCCTCTTTCTATATACATTTTATACAAAAACCTTTACAAGAAAGCAGAACCCAATGAGCCCACACTGGAACTTGAACTCTTCCCTCACCTCTTCAACTCCTCTATATCCTCATCCAGTCCCTTCAACATCATCTTCCACAGATTTTCCATCTTCTGATCCTTCTTATCTTTGAAAAGCAGATGAGTCTTCTTTTAGACCTTCAATTTGGACTCCAAAAACAACTCTAAGAGAGATAACATATCATCTGACCTATAATCATTCTGGAGACCTACTATAGTACTGCAGACATCTGCCATCTCATCTGCCAACTTGTTCACATGACACACTGCTGATCATCTCACTTGTGGTAATGCCTTTGTTGAATGAACAGGTGGTCTTTTTAACCTTGCAATAGGCATAAGTCCATCTATGGCTAATGTCTTTGGTTACTGAGCATGCATAACATGGTGCACTATCTTGATGGCAGCACATGCAACTCTCTAAAAACAGAACTAAGATAAGCCAATCAGAAACAATAAAACACTTACTTTCACTGCTCGATTCCTCCTCATTCTCTGCTGGCCCTGCAACCTCCAACTTTGCCCTTTTCTTGAGACTGACCACTATCTCTACCTCACTGTCACCCACCACACTCTGAGACTTGAACTTCTGTTTTTGGCTCTGTTCTACTGGATCTCCTCTCTTTTCTTCTCCAACTCCTCTTGCTGCTTCTTTTTCTGCACCTCTTAGACCACATGGTCTATCTGGATCTTCTCCTCTCTCTCCTGCTCTCTTTTTCACTCCAAGTGGACTTCCATAGCCTCTGTGTACTCTTTCTCTATAGTTTGCCATTTCAGATGAAATAATTCCTTAGCCTCTTCAGGGCCATTAGAGGTGAGTTTCCTCACCAAAGGCTCAGGAGTTTGTGAGTGATGATATGCAGTGAGAGACAATATAGTTGAAAAAGTCTAGATAATAGTAGTAGTATCTGATCAAGTTGCAAAATTTTCTATAACCACCAACAATCTTCCATGTGACCTCACCAGCCATCAAGATCTGTGCTCTTGAGGGCAAGAATGCTAATAGGAGGATACTATTATGCATATGCTGCCAGCCTCCATATCACCTCAACCAACCATGAATTCAATTGCCAAAACCCACTGGACTCTGTCTGCTTCCCATTACCTATCAATTTTATTTTCACTATTATCATTTCACATCCATATTTTATATTGTAATATCTAGACCCCAAACTCAGTAGTGAATATTGACATCAGAACTTAATGGAATTCAACTCAGAATTAGCTACCATTAGTATATAAGCCATGTAGAATCATTGTAACTACTCAGTTTGAATATCAACTTGGATAGCCATCTACACTTCATACTCACTTCAACTCCTTCTTTCTCATCCATCAGATTCCACTCTGAAGGATACTCCTCTTCACTTCCCCAACAGAACTCTGTTCCATCCATCCAAATCCTTGGGCTCCAACTCAAGGGTGATATTGCCAATAGCTTCATTGATGTCTATGCACTCTGCTGATCTCTATGTGTGCACCCAAACCCACTCAATTGGCATGTTCCTAACAGGTAGAGACATTATGCTGAATGTTAAGTAGGCAGTATAAGTTATTTAGAAATTTAGAGACAAATTATGATCCTCAGTCAGAGATAACTACTTGTGGTATTTCATATTTAGCATATACTTCATTGTGTAGAATCTTTGCCCATCCTTTAGATATTAGCTTATTCAAGCAGATGATCAGAATGATTGCTTTAGAGAAGTGATCAACTATGATAATGATGGTATCATATCTGTTATATTCTGGCAGTCCTGTGACTATGTCCACAGAGATGTGGATCCATGATGAGTTGAGAATCTCATTCAGATAGAGGGATGCTATATGTGGCTGTATAGTTAGCTTGCCTCATTAGCAGGTTTCACACCTCTTGACATATCATTCTATGTCTTGGCCTATCTTGAGTCACCAATATTCCTATAGTACAAGTTTCTTTGTCTTGGGGATTCTGGAATATCCTGCAGTTGTGTGATCATAGTAGGTGGTGATGATTTTGCCATGAAGTCTGTGATCTTGTAGAATATAGATCCACCCATCATAGTGGATTAGTCCTTCCTCCTTCATTATTTCTCATTCATGGTTTAGTGATGAGACCATGTGCTAGTCTCATTTACTGGTATCTCTTATTGTGCTCTTGATTTGTTCATAGATCTTCTTCTCTATTGGCATTATTATAGCCTAGAAGTGTTTGAGCTTAACTAATATGATCCTCTTATTGTCATCTGCCTCTTGGTCATAATCAGTGCATCGACTAAGGAGGTCAGCTTTCTTGTTGGCAGTGTCTGCTTTGTGATAGAGGGTGTACTCATACTGGCTCAGTTTGGTTACCCACCAAGCTTGCCATTGATTTAGTTTTTGTGGCTGTCAGAAATATTGCAGGTTCTGATAGTCAGTCTATATTTCAAAGGTTTGGGCTGTGCCAATCAGATAGTGTCTCCACTCCTCTAGTGCAAGCATGATGGTGAGCAGTTCCTTATCATATATCTTATAGTTTTGCTCAGTTACTGAGAGGGCTTTTGAGAGGAACACCACTGGTCTCTATCTGCTTTCTTGTTTCTGAGAGAGCACTGCCCCAATAGTGCTCTCACTTGAGTTGGCTTTAACATGGAACTTTCCTTCCTGAGTGGAAATAGCAAGGACCACATCTTCAGTGAGTCATTGCTTTAGGTTGTCAAATGCTGCCTGCTAAGGCTGTTCTCAGATCTATGGTGCATTGCCAGTCAATCACATCATTGGTTGGACTATCTTGCTATAGTCTCAGATGAATCATCAATAGAAGTTTGTGAACCTCAGGAAGGATTGGAGTTTCTTCTTCTTTGTCAGTTCTGATCATTCTACTACTCCTGCAATCTTTACTGGGTCCATATGAATACTTTCTTTACTGATAATCACTCTGAGGTATTCTGTTTCCAGTATCTCAAACTTGCACTTCTCAGCTTTGAAGAAAAGTTTATGTTTTTTCATTAGTTTGAGGACTTGTCAGATGAGCCATTGGTGTTTAGCATGATTCTTTGACATAATGAGGATGTCATCCAGATAGATGGTGACTTTTCTGGTGGCAATAAGATCCTTGAATATGTCATTCATCATCCACTGAAAGATCACTGGAGAGTTTGTCAACTTGAAGAATATGACAGTGAGTTCAAAGAGTCTCCAATTAGTTCTAAATGCTGCTTTCCACTCATCTCTCTCCTTGATGTGCATGTTGTTGTACCCCCATTGAATGTCAAGTTTGATGTAATATTTCACTTCTCAGAGTCTGTCCATCAGTTCTAAGATTAGAGATAATAGATATCAGTTCTTAATCATCATTTTGTTAAGCTTTCAATAATCCTCTACTGGTCAGAGTTTGCCATCCTTCTTTTTGATGAAAAAAAAGAGAGATGCCATTGGTGATTTTGATGGTCAGATTTGCCCATTAGAAAGATTCTCTTCCAGAAACTTGTCAAGCTCCTATTGTTTGTGGTGATCAAGTGAGTAAGTTTTGCAGTCAAGATTAGTGTTAGTGTTAAAGACTAGTTCAATTGCATGGTCCTATAGTTTTAGCTCTGGCAGTTCATCAAAGCTTTTTGTTACAATTTTTCTATTCTTTTTTTTGACTTAACCCCTATTTATGCTTAGTCAGAGCACTAGAATGAGCACTTAGGACTGTGGGACAAAGCTTAGTCATTACAACTAGCTGAGTCTGTCATTGCCTTTTGATGCAACAGCATTGCCTGACAATGCACAATCAACCTTTTATATACAATAACAACACTTTATGACAATAGGCACAATGGACCCAGAAACACACAATTAGTCATAGTATTATTAGCTGGCATTGTACAGTATTTAAGACTGCTCACTCTTGCTAGTAATCTTCAGCTTCAAGCTAAAGTTTATTCTATACCATCCTCTCTCAAGCCAATCCTCTTTGGCCTTATAACACATCAATCAGACTACACATCAGTGAACTCAGCTGATCCCTCAAAGTGCAAAGGGACAACTGTTTATCACATGTGGCTGCTCATGTGATGCTTGAGTCTAACACTTTTTTTTTTCAAACAGATTCTGATAATCTTGTGCTCACTCTGGTATCATCTCTTCTCTTTTTGCATTTGCTTTCACTGCTAAGTCATTGGCATGGTGCATAGTGTGAAGATGTAATGCTGACTGAATGTCAACAGTGAGAATAGTTTCACCATCTTCTATCTCTTCATCTCACCAATCCTTTGGATCTTTGTCTGGTAATTTGAAGGGGATTTTTTAGCACTTGCAGCATGTGAATGTGATTTGGCCTGTTTTCCAATTAATCAGAAGATTGTGGCATATTAGCTAGCCATAGCCCAGGAATATCTCTTTGGTTCTCAGGTCAGTGACAGCTAAGTTAATTCATTCAGAGTGGTCACTGATTATTAGCCATAGCTCAATGAATTCAGTGATCAAGCTAGCTTAGTTCTTGATTCCATCAGCATTGTATATAGGAATGGAGACCACTATAGCTCAAGTAGAGAGTTGATGCTTGTTAATAAAAGCTCAATTTATTGAGCTTCCTGTGCATCTGCTATCTATTAGAGCAATGACAGTGTGGCTGACTCAGTTAGTTAGTGTTTCAATTTAGGCTTTGGTGGTTAAGTTCCATTCTAGGGTCTTGGTCTGCTGAACATATCTTCAGGGTCCTCACAGTTCATTGAGCCACTCTAAAACTCAGTATTGCTCTGCCTTTTTTATTCTCTCAATCATCTCATCTATGACTTCTTTGGCTTGGGTCTTGTGTACTCAAATCTTGAGCATGGCCTTTGCTGCTTCTTCTGTCAGTGCTTCTTTGATGGCTTGCTAGATCCATTCAGTGTTGAATGGTTTGAGCCAGTTAGTGGGAGTCTCTCTCTCTATTCAGCCTGTGGGCATTTGAGTTTATTTAGGTGATTCTTTGGCAGGATATGGGATAGTCAATAC